GCAAACTTTGATTAAACTTAACTTTATTATTGTAACTGTTTGCAGAACCGAATAATACCACAAAGGATGTGGACATAATAAGAAAATCCAGCTCACAACTCACTATATGATTAATAAACTGGATAAATTAGAATACATTTATATTTATTTATACTAATCTCGGTATATGAGTGTAGTGCAATTCTAATTTGAGTCTGAACATGTATGACTTTCTAGATCTGTGCCTGATCCTCTGTCAGCTTCATTCCACCTGGCAAATTTTTACCCTGAATAGACACCAGATGTGTTGTGCAGAGTTGTGTGTGGGTAGATGTGTGCGCTATTGGGCCTAATATTTATTGTAGCACTCCATTCAGTAATAGATTCCTGCATCCTGCTGAACCAAACTAAATCCATCAGACCATCTGACTGAATGCTATTGTAATCATTCAAATGGCATGTGACATTGTAAGTGAAGAGGTTTGGAAGTGGTTGACAGGAAGTATGGGAATCAGAAGAGAATTGGCTTCAAAGATTTGATAATGTACACTTTAGTCTGCTGCAGAACATTTTTCTAGGATAAAATTATTTTCTTTTAAAAAAATCAACCATATTAAATCTGCTATCACCCTGAAAGTAATCCTGTTCTGTAACAAATTATACTTGCATTGTGAGGTACTTTACTGCCATCTTGTGGACACAATTACTGATTTCAAAAAGTACCAACAACCTTGGTTTCTGCCAAGCAGTCCAAACAGAGGAAGGAAGGAAGGAAGGAAGGAAGGAAGGAAGGAAGGAAGGAAGGAAGGAAGGAAGGAAGGAAGGAAGGAAGGAAGGAAGGAAGGAAGGAAGGAAGGAAGGAAGGAAGGAAGGAAGGAAGGAAGGAAGGAAGGAAGGAAGGAAGGGCATCCTAGGCTGTGTGTTTGGGGTCATTGTCTTGCTAAAATGATTTCATCTTCGTCATCTTCGTCACCCAAACCTTTCTGTTGGTATGGTGTTTTTAGGGTGATGTGCAGTGCCATTTGACCTTCAAACATGATATGTATTATGGCATCCATAAAGTTCAATTTAGACTACATTCTCCAAGACACCTTTTTATTCACCATCATTTGCATTGACAAGGGGCAGAATTGCTTTCTAATTACAGAGATTTCGGCTGGTTTCTTGGCTTTCCATGCCTTTTTGTAGTTTCCTTTCTTCAAATGTTCAATACTTTTTCTCTGTGCCATTCTTTACAAATAACTGATAATTTCTGGACAACTATGGTTTAATTTCTTGGCATGTGTTTATTGTCAATAGCATCGCTATAAATATATTTACTTAGTTATTTTATATTTAATAGTTATTTTATGCACTGTGTATATACATATATATATATATATATATATATATATATATATATATATATATATATATATATATATATATATATATATCTTTTAGTTAGCACTTTACTTACCTGCTCAGAAGAACATTTGACAAATTACATGTGATTCCAGAGTCCCTTTGCTACAGATGTTTACTTTTTTAAGCTTTTTTCTCCCTGTTTTTTTGGGCTTGATTTTAATTAATCTAATTAAATTTTACACAAATATTTATAAGCTCTGTCATGGATCTACTAGGATTTGGCAATACCTGAGCTCCATGTCAGCTGTTATTCCTATAGGTGCAAAAGCTTTCGATATCAACGTTGGCCTGATAACCAGAGATACATTTATATCTTTTGAAGCTATCAAAATGTATATGAAAGATACTTATGTACTTTTTTTTAATACAAAATCAGTACTGTTAGTATGCATCTCTCTATACATTCTGCGGAGAGAATTGTAGCTATGACTGTTAAGTATTTAATTAAGTCATAGCAAAAACATTTAAAACCCTAACTTCTAATATTTAGTTAAAACATATTTTGCAAGGTTTTGAAGCAATTTGATTTTTACATACTAGTCAGTAGCTTGGCTACTGCGGAAGAAAGAAAAACAGGATTTGACAAAAAAAAAGTTTTTTTTATTAATGTTCTCTTTTAACTAATGTTTTTTAATGTGTGAATGTCTTTGTGACTTTGTGAATTTCCTCTCTGGATTCTACTTTTATCAGTTCTTTATCTCTGACTGTGCTCCCTATCTGTACCTGCAACTGCTGTATTATTATAGTCTATATGGCAGGTTGCCTAGTTGGTGGTCTCCAAGTGAACTTGATACTGAAATCAGCAGCCAGCTGTGATTGGAAGAACATCAAGGAGGCTGTGTGGAGTTCAGTCTGGAGGGCAGCCAGTTACTTAACACTTGTCAACAGCTCTAATGAAAGTGACCCTTTTCTCTGTGGCCTCTTTTTCATTAGCAGGGTCAAAGTTCATCCCCCAAGTATGGGTGTCTGTCGCTCCAAGGAGGCAAACGGTTGAGGAAACAAGCTCAAGAACAGGTTTTGTCAATATAACGCCAGGGGGGGAAGGGAGACATCATGCTTTGGTTAGTGCATGCTTCATATATGATAAGCTGGTCCTTCAGACAGATTTTTAATTAATTTATGCTAGTGTTGCATCCCAATCTTCTCGGGCAAAATCTTATTATAAAAAAGATGTAGGAATCTATACTGATATCCCTTACAGCCACCTTATGTTTATGTTCTTTTCAACGCTCTGTTTTCTATTATGTCTTCTAAACACAGATGTGAACTGCAGACTGAATGAAAGAAAAAGAATCAGCCAGCGTCCGCTCCTCCTCCCTTTCCCCTTCACCCGGGCCTCTTACAAATGAAAGAGGCCGCACAACGCGAATGGATGGCCGACGGGGTGTGTGCTATGCGAGGGCCCCAGACACAACACAACACACACTGCTCGGCAGGCCACTGCAGCTGGGCTGGAATGCGACCTGTTTTAGACTTTAAATCTAGACAAGAGCCTGAGTGTTTCAGTGTTAAATACAAGAGTGTGGAGGAGGACAGGGTTGGGAGATTGTCTTTAGAAAGCTCAATGGTAATTTGTCCAAGCACTTGAATTGTTTCCCTTATAGCAGAGGAAGGAGTTTACAGAAATGAAGAACCGAGAATGAATTCAGAAACCAAACCTTTTTTATTTTCTAATCTTGGCTATAGAGGGTAAAAAAAAAATGCTCTATAAGTAATTAGATTCATATCCCTCTTTACTGCATATATTCATTTAACACAACTTGAATATAGAGAAAAGGAATAATAAATATTACAAACATAAGTCCATGAACATATTCAGTGTTGTAAATGAAAAACGATTCCAAAAAAATGGAACCTAAGAGCTTATTTGATTCTGGCAGATATTTGAGGCTTTGTTTTGCATTACTGTGGTCTCAAAGGGGTAATTCAGGAATTTTGAGTTAAGGTTTTGTTACCTGCATTAAAAAGTCCTGTGTAATCCTTATTAAGATCCAGATTAGTTTACAATTTCTTCTACACAGTCTATATCAAGACTATGTCTATGTCAAAAGGGGCCCGATTGCAGCATTATTTCACTTTAGGTGCCCTAAAGTGGACCACTACTGTCTTAAAGAATGCTATCCATACTTATTAATAACCCTTTGTCTCACTAGCATGTCCTTAATGCATAGTAAGCAACTTTTATAGCATCTACATACAGTATGAATCTAGACAAGGTGGTCCTAAAGACTATTGTCTAGAATAACAGGGACCCTCACTTAAGTAGCTTCTTCCTGTTATAAGACAACTACAGTCACAAAATTAGTCCCAGTGTTTTTTAAGCAATTTCGAAATATTGTCAATCTGGAGTATGACAAACAGAAGCTGATTATTAACACAGAGAATGGAGGTAGGAGGCGGTATGTCACCAGTGATCTGCATACCAGAGGCAGGACATTTAAAGCATCCTGTCAGAGTAGCTTCCGGATATAAAAGTAAAGAGTTCTTAAAGGTAAACATATTAGAAGAGTCAACGAAATCTCTACACCTATTCAATTATATGCTGCTGCACTATTAATTTGGTAGATACCTTAGTTTAAATGTTCATGAAATAGCATACACTATCACAATGCTTTGAACTTTAATGTTTCCAGAGGTTCTTACCTTGATGTTATTTTAACCCCTCTTCTATGAGCTGTTATCATAACTCTTTGGGATTAACTAAATGAAGACAGTATAGGAGTTTTCTACAGTCAAATGCAAATATGACTATGGACAAAACCTTAATTAAACAGTGCTTCCATGACTACAATTTTTTTTACAACACTGGAACTGGTTTATTATAGTAGAACCTAGGGATGCACGATATAATCGGCCCCCTATCGGTATCGGCCTGTATCGGCCTTAAAACTGAATATCAGACATCGGCCACCCCACCGATATTTAACCCGATATTTGATCAGCTTCTGAGTTTCTAAAGTCTAAAAAAAAAAATACTACTTCTTCTTCTTCCTCAAAGACTTATTTTTTAAAGACTTAAAAACTTCTAAAGACGAGGGAAAAAATATTGATACATTAAAATATCCTAATATCTTCATATGCTGATATATTGCCATTTAAAAACACCATATCAATCTCTTTTACTAATGAAATATTGCTATATGTCATCGTTATGCTACGAAATCCCCCGAAAATTCACAAAATTCTGCCATATTTTTATATGTTGATATATTGACGCGGTATCGATCTATTTTACTAACAAAATCTCACAAGAATTTGCAAAATATCACAAGAGTTTGTAACAGAACGATGAAATATCAAAAATCTATTTGATATCAGCATATGAAAATATATTTGAGTATATTATTTTTCAAAGTGTCAGAAATGGATAATAAAACTGCTATTTTCAATGACTACTTATTTTTGTCCAGCTTTAACATCGGTATCGATATCGGTTATCGGCTACATGAGTTTTAAAATATCGGCATATCGGATATCGGCCAAAATCCCAATATCGTGCATCCCTAGTAGAACCTCATTTTTATGTGGGCCAAACTCAGATGATATTTATCTAGATTTAAATTAAATGAATTTATAGAAGGTAAGATGCTAACTGCCATTAACTTTTTATCAGGACCTCTTTTCAAAAATCCTTAACTATCCCCTTAAGTTGGTAGTTTGGTTGTTCTGTATGAAGAGGTTAAGAGCAGTAATTGTTTTACTAAAAGGTTTTAGCAGTCTATAGCATGGCAGTCTGCAGAAATACTATTTTATGAACTCTTAAACCATATTAGGAGAGAGTCATGTATAGCAGGTAAAATACCGTTCCTAATCTCTTCACAGCCTGCACACGTCAATAAACTCAAACGATCCTTTTATGTGCTAAAGACAGCTGTCACACAGTGAAGACCTAAGATACTCATCAGAACAAAAGATAAGCTTTCCGTATTAAAAATATTACTAAACAAATAATATTAGTGTACAAAAGATTTGTTAAGGTAAAATATTAAATACTTTGCTCAGGGTAAATACTTTTTATAACAGCTTTTCTAAGATCTGTTGATGAAAATTTGACCCAAAAAAAAACACATTTGAAATGCAACATAACTGGCCACCATGCAGACTTGTGAGGTCACAGGAGCTTTAAGTAATTTGAAAAATAAAAACAGAGGAGCTGTACTGCTGGTATTATATCAGGCTGCAGAGAAATCTTTGAGGAAATCACAGGTTTTCTTCTGAACAAACTCTCTTAGCTTTCTGATTCTGCGAGCACTGGATGTACCCACAAAGCTGTCAGGCTGCAGGACGGCCATCCCGTTGTGAACATCCCCCATGATGATCAGCTGCCCGTCAGATATGGTGATGTTAGGACAGGGGCAGTTCCAGTCCATGTTCAGAAGGGTGACTTCCAGCGGTTCCTTGCCAAAGAACCTTAGACCCATTTTCTCATCCTTCAAGATCTCCTCTACGGTCACCAATGCATGCCCTGATTCTTGCTCTTCTGTCAGCTCAGTTACACGGCCGAGGATCACGAAGTCACTCTTGCAGAAGCTGGAGACCATTTTACCTCGAGGCTTGCATGCCTTGCAGTTGTGGTTTTTTGGAAAGGGGCACATCTCTTCACAGGCTTCTTTAGACACAAAGTTGTTCTCATTTCCTCCACAGCCCCCATACACAAAAGACTGGCACTTTTTAAGGGTGGTGCTATAAGCCCAACGGGGCTCATAAGCCTTGCAGGGACCCTGTAGGCTTGGGAGGCTGCAGGGGGCTGCCAGCTCCCCCCCACAGGACAGCATGCATGCTTCATAGGAATCAAAATGGTTTAGGTTTTTATTGCAATTGCTGTAGGTAAAGGTGAAGCAGTTGTTTCTCTTCGGCTCGTAGTACCAGCTTATGCTTTCTTCTCCGCAGTCATCTGTGTCGGGACCCTTGAGGCATTCTGCCGCTGGGAATGGGAGGTTAGTATTATTCCCCTCTGCATTTTTACCCCTCGATTCTTTCTTGAGCACCGCCAAGGGGAAGTGTGATGACACACTTCCCCCGACATTTCTAGCCGTGCATGTGTAGATTCCGGCATCATCAACTTGGGCGTTGTATATGACCAGCTGGCCAATGTTGGTTACCACAATGTTACCTCGTACATGATTGGGTCTCATTATTACATTGTCCTTGCCTTTCATTTGTTTCTCCCAGGTAATTTCTGGTTGTGGCTTCCCGGACACCTCACACAGGAAGCTGGCCGTCTCACCCACAAATACAGTCTGTTTGATTGGTCCATTGTGTATGGCAGGAAGCTGTATGTCAGTTGGAATGGTGGTTTGAAGGGCGGTAGTGGGATGTAACGTGGTCTCCACAGGGATTGGACTTGTGTTTGGCCAGGACAGGTGATACCTGTTGGTATATTAAATGAGATAATAAAAATACAAAGAATATATTTACAGTGTTTTAGAAAGGTATTCATACCCTCCTTAAAGATTTTGTTTTAGGTTTTGTTGGGATTTGTGTATTAGACTAACACAAAGAAGTGCATCATTTTGTGGAGAAATATAAGGATGTGTGGGTTTAATATTTCTCATAAATCAGCATAACTGAAAAAGATAGTCATACATTTGTTTCCAGATGCTTGAGTCTCTGAAGAAGCCCTAATGGTCAGATTATATGTACAGGTCTTTTGGCGTACATCTCAAACAGCTTTCCAATTCTAGAGACAGAAATTTCTGATATTTTTTCCTCACAAAACAGCAGCAGCTGAGTCGGATTGAATGGAGAATCACTGTGAACTGCAAATCAAATGCTTTTACTCATACACTTTGGTCTAATTTATTCCACTGCAGCTTGATGTCCTTCCTATTTTCTCCATTTTCCATTCAATTCTTAGAAGTTTTCTGCTCCCGTTAAAGAAATTGACCACTTCAACATATCATCACTATGTGCCACCATGAAGATAGTGTCTTATGACAATGACATTCCTTCTCACACTGTTTTGTGCAGGGTCAGTTTGACATGATTATTAGTTATCTTGTGAACAGACTCATGAGGTGTGGGCACTTCAGGTGGAGAGCTTTTATTCCACACCTTTAATATTATAGAATAAGGATGTGATTATAATTTGATGTAGTATTCTAAATACCTTCTTCTTCACTATCAGACCTAAGCCTCCATGATGCACTAATAATAAAATCCAAATGATTGCAACAATGCGTTATCGAGGGCTATTACATGTTGTGGTAAGTCATTATGGTGTTTTTTTTTTTGTTGTTGTTTGTTTTTTTTGTCAAACAAAGGCCACACTATGATGGTTATAGCTGTGGGCAGGAAGGATCTCCTGTAGATGTCTGTGTTTCAGTGGGTCTGAAGAAGCCTCTGGAAGAAGGATTTTATTTAGAAATTAAATTCCGGGGGCTATATCCTATAAAAGTGAGCCGAAAAACAAGCTTGCCAGATGTTTCACATTTCTGTTTGCAATAATATTTGGGAAACTATGAATGATCAAATCCAATTTGTTTTTCTATCACATAAAATTTTGCAAAACACTACATTTTTTGACTGCAAAGTGACAAATGTAAAAGAGAAGACATTTAAAATACTTAACATGTTACCTGCAGGTGACCTCAGTGATTGAGACACCCTTGGAGCAGGCCTCTGCGTCCATGTAGCACTTGTTATAATAAGTCATGCCGTCAGACGCACACGTGAAGTGGGGCTCCCGCTCACAGCGGTCTCTGCACTTACAAACAGGCTGGCCATCCCAGATGTCGCACTCAGAGCCTTGCTGGGTGCACATGAACTTGTCGCAGGTGGCGCCCTTTGGCATTCCAATGGGGCCCTTGTTGCCCTTGATGTCTATATAGCGTGCTGCCACACAGCTCTTGTTGCCGCAAACGTTAGGGCAACATTTTTCAAATGCCTCGCAGTCCTGAAGTTAAAAAAGAAAACACAGGTTTTGGATGATTTTTTTTTTTTTTGCCACCTCTGGTAATGATGTTGAAAAAGTGTGTCAGAAAATGGATGGATGGATCATGGATATATATCACAGGCGCAACTTTCTGAAGGACTGGTGTGGACATGTCCCCACCAACTTTGGCTTGGTGGCGACAGTCCCCACCAAATTTCTAAATTAGATTTTGCTGCGTTTGAAGGAGGACATTTACTAATATAGCTGAAAGGATAAACATCCATCGATCAATCCACATTTTTCTGGATGAATTGATGAATGGATGAAACTAAAATTGTGTGCATACTAGGGTAGGGAGGCATGATATATTGCTGTTGGCATCAGAATTGGCTGTTATTCATCCTTTTTATATATACATTAATGCCCAAATACCTATAATACTGTATAAATAGGAAAACAATAGGAAAGCACTGAATAAATATGTTTGAGCTCATTTTTTGGAAAATAAAAACCCTTGAAAGCGTTTGTGTCGAGTAACTGAAGGTCCATCAGCCCCCACCCTAAGAGTGTCCCCAGCAACACCCCAGCAAGTGACACCCTTGATATATATATATATATATATATATATATATATATATATATATATATATATATATATATATATATATATATATATATATATATATATATATATATATATATATATATATATATATATATGCGCCCTAATGTAAAGGAATGCTGTACATATTTTTGAATTCACTGAGAAGAAATCTAAAAATATATATATGTATGTATATGTATGTATATATATATATATATATATACAGGTGCTGGTCATAAAATTAGAATATCATGAAAAAATAGATTGATTTCAGTAATTCCATTTAAAAAGTGAAACTTGTATATTATATTCATACATTACATACAAACTCATATATTTCAGATGTTTATTTTGTTTAATTTTGATGATTACAAATGACAACAAATGAAAATCTCAAATTCATCATATCAGAAAATTAGAATATTACTGAAGACCAATAAAAACAAAGGATTTATAGAAATGTTGGCCAACTGAAAAGTATGAACATGAAAAGTATGAGCATGTACAGCACTCAGTATTTAGTTGGGCCTCCTTTGGCCTGTATTACTGCAGCAATGCGGCGTGGCATGGCGTCGATCAGTCTGTGGCACTGCTCAGGTGTTATGATAGCCCAGGTTGCTCTAATAGTGGCTTTTAGCTCTTCTGAATTGTTGGGTCTGGTGTATTGCATCTTCTTCTTCACAATACCCCATAGATTTTCTATGGGGTTAAGGTCAGGAGAGTTTGCTGGCCAATTAAGAACAGGGATTCCATGGTCCTTCAACCAGGTACTGGTAGCTTTGGCACTGTGTGCAGGTGCCAAGTCCTGTTGGAAAATGAAATCTGCATCTCCAAAAAGTTGGTCAGCTGCAGGAAGCATGAAGTGCTCTAAAACTTCCTGGTATGTGGCTGCGTTGACCCTGGACCTCAGAAAACACAATGGACCAACACCAGCAGATGACATGGCACCCCAAACCATCACTGACTGTGGAAACTTTACACTGGACTTCAAGCAACGTGGATGAAGTGCCTCTCTTCTTTTCCTCCAGACTCTGGGACCTTGATTTCCAAAGGAAATGCAAAATTTACTTTCATCAGAGAACATGACTTTGGACCACTCACCAGCAGTCCAGTCCTGTTTCTCTTTAGCCCAGGCAAGACGCTTCTGACGCTGTCTGTGGTTCAAGAGTGGCTTGACACAAGGAATGCGACAGCAGAAACCCATGTCTTTCATACGTCTGTGTGTGGTGGTTCTTGTAGCACTCACTCCAGCTGCAGTCCACTCTTTGTGAATCTCCCCCACATTTTTGAATGGGTTTTGTTTCACAATCCTCTCCAGGGTGCGGTTATCTCTCTTGCTTGTACACTTTTTTCGACCACATCTTTTCCTTCCCTTCGCCTCTCTATTAATGTGCTTGGACACTGAGCTCTGTGAACAGCCAGCCTCTTTAGCGATGACCTTTTGTGTCTTGCCCTCCTTGTGCAAGGTGTCGATGGTCGTCTTTTGGACAACTGTCAAGTCAGCAGTCTTCCCCATGATTGTGTAGCCTATAGAACTAGACTGAAAGACCATTTAAAGGCTTTTGCAGGTGGTTTGAGTGAATTAGCTGATTAGAGTGTGGCACCAGGGGCCATCAATTTTGAACCTTTTCACAATATTCTAATTTTCTGATATGATGAATTTGAGATTTTCATTTGTTGTCATTTGTAATCATCAAAATTAAACAAAATAAACATCTGAAATATATGAGTTTGTATGTAATGTATGAATATAATATACAAGTTTCACTTTTTAAATGGAATTACTGAAATCAATCTACTTTTTCATGATATTCTAATTTTATGACCAGCACCTGTATATATAGTCATTTTGTTAAACTAAAAGAAGCACTTTTTATGGTGTTAATTATACAAGCAGATTTGGTAATGAAGCAATAATTAAGTAGCTTTCAGCATGTGAACCTGATTATAGAAAGTCTAACATGTAATTTATTTTTGAAATCTTTGGATAGAATATGCATTTGCTTTCGCCTTTACATTATTTTGATTCACGTTTGCTATTCTAATCTCAAAAACTACCGTCAGCCCTTCTATAGAGATTATTACTCATGAAGCGCTCTGCAACACGGGCGCGCTCACCTGGTCGGATTCGCACTCTCGCATGCAGGTGCTCATCGCATCCACCCACAGGTTCGGGTTCAGATCATTGGGACACAGACCTGCGTGGGAGTACACCACCTTTGCCACGGACATCATAGGCATCGCTGTCACACGATAGTCCCCACAGAGGAATACAGTCCAACAATGTCCAAGAACAAACCAGATCCATCGGGGAAACAGCATCCACCACATCTCGATAGTGGAAGTCCTCAATCTTGGTCTTGCAAAAATGCTAAGACGAGAAAAACGCTTAAAACGATCTGAAATCGGTTGAATTAATCTGAAATGTGCGTATCGTGGGTAATGTAGCAGGTTTGGAGCCGATCTGCAGAGTTTTCGGGTTCACTTGTTGCTCCAGCGTGCAGAGAGGGTTCAGTTTAGGACTGAGCGAACCCCCCTAATGACTACATGAATTACAGTGGCCTGTCTGCTTGCACAGAAAACCCCAGCTGAGTTACAGTCATGATCAACTTCATTAAAAAAAGAAAAAAGTCCGCCAACAGTTTGCCTTTTTTTTAACGCTGCAGCCTTAACCCTTAGCAGGCAAAGTCCTTGGAGAAAAAGGCAATATTTAAATATAATATATTTAAAAAATATATAAAAATATATTTTTTTAAATATCTTCACAACAGATGAGTGATTATGATATTATTTTAGATTTCATCCTTAATCAATTCCTTAAAAATAATTTAAAGGCTCTATTTCTCGTTGTTTGATAAATACAAAAAAGAGAGCAGAGAAAGGTGGAGAGGAGAACATGTCTCCAGCAGATGGCTCCAAACTGAATCCACTATTGTATTTAAATTTAATAAAATGTTAAGACATTCATTTGGATCTTATTTGTCATGCTATGTCTCAGACATCCCTTTATTTTCTTTTATGAGAACACGCCCTCTTGCATAGACCAAAAACCTGCTCAGCCCCTGATCACTGGCATACTTGAGTCCAGAATGTTGTAAGTCCATACTTATGGTAGCCTGTTAAACCAGACTAAATGTGAGATTAAATATGTAATTTAGTCTGGCCCCGATGAATGAGACATCGGAAGATTGTTGATGAGAACAACCCGTTGTTTGCGTTGTGATTGGGCCAATTCTAGGGCCTGGGGCATTGATTGAGGCTAGACCAAACTCAAAGGCAAAAATGATTTTGGCCGCTGGTGGGTGGGGCTAGTTTACTACGCTATACTTAGGGTGTAATTTTATTTTTAAGATTCAGAATTTCGAAGCCTCTAGACTTAAAACAAACAAACAAAAAATAACCCCCAATATGTTGATCATTCAACTAGGACCTGGTCGCGCATTCCAGAGTTCAACATCAAATATGTCTGCACCCGTACAGAATGTAATGAATGTTGCCCTTTAAATGAAATGATCGAAACAGCTAAGCTCCTCTGAGGGTTTGTATCTAATCCAATCAATAGAGAGAGAAAAATAGAAACAATAAATTAGCTTTCCAACTTCAAGTCTCAAAGAAGGGTGTGATGTTGCTTATAGCTCTAAGCAAGGATATGCAAGGAAAGTCAAATGCAGCATTATACCTACATATTTATATGCAAACCCAAATGGATGGATTTATGGTAGACTTTAGTTCCTCAGTTTCAATATGTCTGAAAAAACAAAAACAAGCAAACATGGAATTATTCTTTCCAATAAGTAAAAACATCTTTAAAAGTCCTAAAAATCCTTTTAAGGAATGCATTTTTCATGTCAGTCAGTGGTGTTCAGCATTGCAGAGAAGATGTTGGTTTTGCCCCTTTTAAACAAGATGATTGACCAACAAAACAAAATTGTCACTCTGTATTAGCGTAAAGCATGGTAAATATTGCAGTGTCCTTACTTGAAATACTTGAAACCTATACCACTTACAATATTACCACTAGAGCAGGATTTTTGACAATGATAGATTTCCATACACAGTAGTACATTTGTATGTGAACAGAAACTCATTGCTAATTTATCAATTTTTAGTGGCTATGCAGTACAGCTGCGTTTTTATTTCTGAAGTTTGTCTGATTTCATTGAAACCTGCTACAGAAAGTATCAACTTTAAGTATAAAAGTAGCCTATAGTACTACAGACACCATCTGCTGAGAGCACAATATTGACATGCAAGGAGTCACAAGTAGTGCAGACAACTTGAAGTCATGCTGTTAATAGCGGTGTTGTTCCACAAAATGTGATTCCGGGAAGAGAAAGCTTCAAAACAAACAGCTGGCGGTGAATCCCTCAGCTTTTTTTTTTTTTTTTTTAACAAAACAAAAGATAAATACGTTTAAAAAAAACTTTTTTATATATGTGCGGTATAACAGATAAGATTATCTTAAAGGCTCATTTAAAATATGTATTTGTATTAGGGAAGAAAAAATGTTGATCCTATTAAGAAACAAAAGTGAGTTCAATTTCACAAGATAAATCCAGGTCTAATAACAACTGGAGCTTAAGAATCAAGTAATAATTTAAATAGCACCTAAATAAAAATATAGTCAATGGTCTCTGTCAGTCTTTAAGGGGTCAAAAATCTATTTGGGTTTTCAGTAAATTCTCTTTAAAGGCTATTACCCACAAAAAGAAAAACATGAAACAGCATTTAACCTTCCCAAGAGTCCTGACTTTCTGAAATGGCTCCTAAGCCAGAATAGCACCAAAGGCAGAATTTCACCTATTACCTTTTGTAGTGTCACATGGGAGATTACATCAGTCTCACTCAGCGGGTCGTCACACTGACAACATCATCTGCAGGCCTCACTTGATTGAACAAGACTGACCAAAAATGGCAACCATAGGTAGATTGCAAAGAAAAATAAAATAAATAAACTAAGAGAAATCAAAGTAAAAGCTCATACACACCCAACTCTACTGCTGCACCCTAAATGCACCAGAGAGCGTTATCACAGATCCTTCCTCCCGGCAGCTTTAAGACTTTTTAACCACCACTGTTCCCAACAACCTCAATAAGTTATGTTCATGCTGATTTTTCAGTTTCTGTCTTAGTCACTTAAATAACATGCTGCTGTCATTTAATTTTTTTTCTTTGCACATCTCTGGTTTTGCTACTTTTTTTCACCATATCAATTACTGTAAAATATGTGCACAGCTGTTATTGATTTTTTTACTCTCCAGATACAGAGTATTATATTATAAAAAACACTGTAAAGTACAATACTATTGTTGTTTCATTTTCCTACCAGTTATTTTTATACACTTTTCTAAGGTGTACATTGTGTGTTTGCAGCATTGCTCTTTAATATTTATTATCCTTATTGGAGAAAAGCATTTTGTATTTACTGATATAACAAATTGTTTTATAGTTTAAAACATAGCATGAAAGATACTATGAGGGAAACCAGTGAGAGGATGGAAAAGACATTTAAATGTATGTTAATGTTTTTAAGTTAAAAACTTGTTAGTGCGTTTATGAAGGGTTACAGTTGAACATATGGATTCTGTGCTTCCCAAGCCGATCCCCTGCTGCGTCTAATGAGGCCCAGAGCTGTTCAGACCAAACCCTGCCGTCTCTGTCTGGTCCCTGTTGTCTGTGAGGAAATTTACATTTAAACAGACTACACATCTATAGATATTAAAAGGAAATATGGGAACTACAGCAAAGATGGTGACGTCTATTTATCTTGCAGCTAATTCAAATCACTAATTATTACTAATATTCTGTTACAGGAGAGTGGGCATGCTCACAAACATACAAGTTTAATTGGTTTCAAATGTGCAAACAGTCAAGCTGTGTTTTCACTTTATGCTCACCAACTTGTCCCCCACAACCGTTAGGCCCCCCACCCTATACCCTCACCCCTCAAGAGTCTTGAGCTGGGAATGCAGGGTCTTGAGTCAAGACCCTGCATTCCCAGCATTGTCAGCACTGAGGCTAAAGGGGATGTAGCATATTGAATCAAGCTACATGCAGGACCCCACACAGGGGCCACTCTGTCAGCCTTCAGTCATGCATTGTCTGAAATCAGACCTTGACTTTGACCTTCTTTCTTGCAGACTTACCATGTTTGTGAGCCACAGCAGCTCAAACAGTAAGTATATTCAGAGTTTATTGCAGTTTCATGATGCGGAATAATATGTGGTTAAAATATCTGTTCAAGGATCTCTCATTTACAGCACCATGAAAAAAACTACTGTGCTCCCTGAGCTGGGTTTTGACATTCTGCAGGCACAAGCCATGACATATTGGTTCTAGATTTTAGGAAATGGACCAGCACAAGTCAGTGCATACAAAAAGGAAAACGCTACAGTTTTTTCTTTCTTTTTTTTACAAATAAAATATGAAGATGCATTTCTTTTGAGCCCCAACACCTCAATAAACTGTAACTGTTTCTTTTTACTGTGGTGCTCTCAATCAGCTTTGCCCTTCTAGACACAGATTTTTTTTTCTGATCAAATAAAAAGCATAACATAAATATGTTTTGATCTAAATCTATATTTTGTAGTCCTGTATGCATGTTTCCTATCCTGCAGGAAGGCCACCTCCCTCCCATGCCTCGAATATTTTAGTGTCTGAAAGGTTTTCCTCGATTAACTTGCTCTATCTATCTTCCTGTCAGCTTCGACCCAAACAAACTAAAGCACCCCCCACAGCAAGATGCTGCCACCATGGTAATGAGATGCTACAGATAAACCTGTGCATGTAAGCCAACAAGTTCAATTTTAATGTCTTATAGCGGAGGTCTTCAACAGGGTGTCTGCAACCCCTAGGGGGTACACGGAGGTATTGCATAGGAGTCGTGAAAGTTTTGGTTGATTAGACTTTTTTTTTTATTTCCCCCCTGCAATTTTCCCACTAATTGAAATGTCTTTAAATACACATTAACATGAATTCAACAAACTGTTGTAAACAGATAAATGGAGGCAGAAGATCATCAATGCACACTTTCAGCAACACACAGGGGCTATTTCAAGCTGGGCACCGTTTCATTCACAAAACCTGTCCCATCAACCATCCATCAACCATTCCTAAGTGAGACCACTCACCATGGATAAACTATCCATCAAAAGTTACCACTGCAAAAAATCTAAATCTAGATAAGTATTTTTTTCTTAAAATAAGTGCATTTGTTCATGAACGATGAGGTAAAAGCGACATTTTGCCAATGTAACAAGACAATTTACACTTAAAATAAGAAAACACAATTGCATTGTCTTATTACAAGTGCATATTATCTAATTATCTTATTTTAACGGTAAAATTACCCATTCCATTGGCAAACTATCTCATTTACCTACTCAAATTAAGGGTGAATACACTTAATTTAAGAATTTTTTACTTACAGTATTTCTAGATTGTTTTTGCAGTGCAACTGCTCAGTCACAGTCAGTAGGGGGTGTAATGGGACAGGCCCTTCACCAGAAAACCCTACCTTCTCTAAAAGTAAGTAATTTTAGCCTATATCAAAGCAAAAAGTTGTATAAAGTTAAAATTCAAGCATTAAGCAGGTCAGAGTTAAAGGCAAATGATGGACATACTGTAACTGACCACAAAGCTGTCTGTTCCCAAAACTCTTTCGGCGTCTCTATAACTTATCAAGCTAATTAATCGAGCATAGTCCACCCCCCGCCCGCAGACACAAAAATCAACTTAACTACGTACTTCATTCCCCTTTGCCTATTATTTTATTCAATAATCTGCTGTTTACAGAATTTTTTATTTTGTTTTGCCCTCAAAACAAATGTTAGATGACTTCACTTCATCAATGTGGTTAGACTTGGTCTCCAAATGACAAACTGTGAACTTTTTTTAGGGTTAAAGTCATTTATGATGTCTTTAAAGTCTAATTTCTTGGCAAGCTCATGCTCTATAGACAGCATTGCCAGACCATTGAACCTTTCCTGGGTCGTCCAAGAGCCCAGGCAGTTTTTATTATTATTTTAATTTTACTGAAGGCCTGCTCTCTTCCAGCCAGTCACAGGTAGAGATAGGAAAATATGTTTCAGGTTCCAATAGCAATGTTTGTGTGCACAGTTTCTTTAATGCCTTGGAAATCTGTCATAAAACTCTTTGTTTTTTATGTTGGATATTTTCATTCCATCTATTGAATTTATTGCACTTGTTGATCTTTTCTCCACTTGATAGGAGAACAGCAAGCGAGGCAGAAAAAATACGGCATTTTTTCAACTACTGTATATTAGCCGGTCCCTAACAATTTTCCCCGTCCATTGTGGGAGGTAGAATTGGTTAGATAATTTGGAAATTCTCTGCCCTCTTAATCTGCTGGCAGTTCATTTGCCATCTCTAACAATGGCTTCTTTTTTTCCATTAAATGCACAACATTCACCCGATCAGAATCAGTCATTTTTGCTGGCCGAATCAACAACATTGAGTAAAAAATTCCCGTGGCGCCAAGATGGGTCCACTGTTTTTTTGAATGGGGGCACAGAAAGAAGAATGAAAAAAAAAGAAGATGTAATAAAACTAATAAAATATACTCCTGTTTTGAGACACTGCAATTAGGCCAATCTGCAATGATGTTGAAGTACTGACTGCTTTTTACTTCTTCAATTAGTTCAGAACGGACCATTTTTGCCAAACAATTCAGAACGTAATTCTTAATTGTCTTGCTTGTGTACTTTGCGTTGTGAATGGCTGTTAGTCTGTATTTAACAACTGCATTGTGATTTGCAACTGTTTCCAGAATTTCCCTGAAATTTCCTCTGTTATTTGATTACTCAGATTCATTGTGTCCACTCTATGCTATGTTTTGTCCAGCTGTGAATTATTTTAATATACTGGTTGTTTTCTTTTACCTGTTTACTGTGTTCCTGGTGAAACATATTTTCCTATGTTTTTTCTAGCTTTCACAGCCCTTTGGTAGTCCCTCCATGCTATATTTGTTTGCTCATGCTTATCAGATTTCGCATGTATTGAAAACCCTCCGTCTTTTTGTTGCTTTTTTCCAATTCCCAAAGCCTGAACCCACCTTTCTTTATAGATGTTTGACTAACTGACTGTGACTAACTGTATGTGCTCTCTTTTATCCTCTGTCCTTCCTGATCTCCTAAATATGAAATATTGTCTTATACTTATGAGTAATTACGAGATAAAATCTCCTTATATTGAGATCAGGATCTCATAATTGCGAGAACGGGGAAAGGTGACGTCATTTGTCCTAGTAAGAATTACATTTCAGATATCTGAAATGTTTATTTTAGATAGGAAGAATACTATTAAATATATCTGAAATACAAACAAATATATAATAAAACGGCCAACTAAAATAAGTAAAGATTTATAGATATCTGAAATTAATTTGTAGAAATCCAGAATGTTTATTTCAGACAGGAGTAATGTCATTTCGGATGTCTTAAAGTACCGGCCAAATACACATAAATGGAGAAAAGTGACGTCATTTGTCCTAGTAAGAATTACAGTTCAAATATCTGAAAGGACATTAAAGATATCTGAAATACAAACAAATATATGTTAAAATGACCACCTAAAATAAGTAAAGATTCGTAGACATCTTAAATGTAGGTCTTACTAGTATAAATTTGATTCCAGAGAACTTAAATTTTTATTTCTACTGGTAGAAATGTAATTAGTGATATCTAAAATATGATTCTGACTAGGAGTATCGTAATTATGACTAGGAAGAATGCTTTAGCCCTATCTATAATAGAAATGTGAAGTGGTCTAGTTTTGAAACTTCATGTAGTTTTAGGGCTAGACCACTTCTAGTCTATCTTGTTTTTTCAAACCTTTGTGCGGTTTGGTCTCTCTTGACACAAAGTGCTCCACTTCCAAGGCTAAAGAAATGTTTGCTTGGGCATTGTAAAAATGACCCCTTCATTCCCTATTATTATCTGCTTCTTTTCAAATTAATTCGTCAAATTGTGTCGACAAGTTTTTTTTTCTTTTTCCTTAAAGTTAATCCAGTTATATGACATATATAGATCTAAATATTTTTCTCAAAATTATAGTTTTCTTGTATAAAGCATAATCCAAATTGATAGATTTTTTATTCAAGCTTAATTTTCTGCAATAAGTAGGTTTATATTCTTAGAATGGCCCACACATGGACAGCTCTTGAGGATCCCGCCTGTCTTGGAGGTGTGTGAAGACAATGAAGGAGTTATGGCCAGTCATGTTAAGCTTATTACAAGTTTCTCATTTCCAAACAAAGGAGAGGGACACGTCCAGTCTCAGCAGGACTCCGCTTATCCCCCAGCTTAGTCTAGACATGCAACAGCACACAGCAAGGCCGGTAGACCCATAGTTTTTCATGAGGGAAGATTTTGGGTCCTCTGTGTAGATTTTGTATTATTTGTGCCCTGCAGACTGCAGTGCCTGGACATCTGGTCACCCATTGAACACAAATAGAGCAGTGACTATGTGACTGAAAGGAAGGAGGTGTTTGTGTAATTTAAATCAGAGATGGAACATAACAAAACCTCATGTTCAGTAAGATCATTACATAATAACACAACAGTGGTTTGCTATGCAAATGCATGCCGTTAATCTCCAGTCAGCTGTTCGAGAACTGTGTCCTTACTTAACTAAAACTCTGTAGTGCTGTAAAAATATAGCACTTTGTAAAGAGTTATTCGAATATAAACTAGATCTTCTGGTAGAATAGAAGGGGAAAAAACAAGCTATAAAAAAAACAGAAGTATTCTATACGATGTTATACAATGGCTTAGCAGCATGAAAACAGAGACATGGTTGATTCAACATGAAGGATGAGGAAAAAGTGCTTCATTTAACATGCTTTATCAAAGAACAGTTAGAAGTTTCCAGAACAAAAACACCATTATAACAGTGCCTATTGTTAGATTATTTGTACACAGGTACATGTATACAGGTCCTATTGCATATAAAAATATCACTCTGGATGCATAGGTATTTCCCCCAGTCCGGTGGGCAAATTGAGATAATCGTCTTAGTGTCTTGGTTTTTGTTCAAAAGAGAACCTTTCACTGAACCTTTCAAACTGTTCTCTGGTTTTCAAACAACGGGAATCCAACAAATACAAACATAGGCATCCCTTTTCACACACTTCACTCAGGGAACAATGTCTGTCCGGGTTTACATCTGCTTCATTGTTTCAAGCTTCAGTTCGTCATCACTCAAGGCACGACTCCTTAGGTTGTCCTGCTCTTTTGACTGAAAGAAATTCCTCTTCCTTCACATTGCAGTTCAGAAAAAGCCTTTCAGTAATTTTCCATCATCGGTGGGGAAACCCGTGGACAACAGATTTTTTTTTTTTTTTAAGCAGGTACCTTACCAGTGCCTAACCTAGTTAAAACACTCACACATTACCTAAAACCAAATTAAAAAGGAGTTAGAGGCTCAAGTATACTCAGAGCAAGAAACTCTCACCATAAGGTAAGACTTTGATTGTAAGACATGTTTAGTGTCTACTTCATCGAGGAGTCCCAGTAAAATGTTAACATAAGCAGCGTAGACGACACCGCCACCTAACATAAGCCTCTGCAGAAAATATGTATTTTAGTCAAAGAGTTATTTTTTTTTAAATTGTCAAGCTATAAAAAAGTGTCAAAGGCAAATGTTATTTTCCAAATAATAATTTAAAGAAAAAGGAATCACACTGTGGCTTTGAATAGCAAACCGTAGCCTTGTAATATAATATTCTGGTCTTTAACTATTACATTAAAAACGACTTATCTCTCCATTTTTCTTTTCCATCGGAAAGGAAAAAAAATAAAACAAAGCTACATTCCTATAAAGCAGTGATACGTTGGTGAAATTGATGTCTGGCTGGTTCAGTTTTTCTTTTTTTTTGGTCTCGATTCTCAAAGTGAACAGCAATTGCAAATATGTTTAACAAAAGGCTTGATTACAAACATTTAAGTTGGAACCTCACAACACCAGCTTTGCCACTAGATATGGCTCTGATCTGCCATCAAAGACCAACAAGACTTTAATATTACTCTTCACATTAGATGGCTGCTGAAAATAAGGTAAAAAAAAAGCTATGTAGTGTTTATGTGCGAGAGAATTTTACCACAGTGCACAGCTTTATGATTTTCTAAATCTGTTTATCTAAAATGTCTCTATCCACGAGGATACATGTAAAAACAAAGTTTGATTTGCAGCCAACAAATGCACCACCCATACTTAAATGTTAGAGGATATGAGATAAACCTTGCTCTAATTTGGCTAATAACGGATAACGTCTGTGAGAAGACACTACGGTTTATCAGAGGAGTGTGTTTTCACAACCAAAACTATTTCACATCCTTCCATAGATCGCTTTTTTAGAACCTAAAGTTGCTATCTGCTCCACTGTGCTCTAACTGTGATGAACCGTGATCATCTGATGATGATCTGATTAGAAAAAGTTGTGTCAATCCTTCCTGATGTCCTCTTAGCCAGTTCTTAAGCTCACAGCCAGAGTAGAAACTTGTCCTTATAAGGCGATTGCAGAGTTCAGCCCGTTAGGAAGACACATCAGCTTCCCCTCAATTGACCCACTCGGGCCTTGGCACAAGGTGCAGTGGGAGATCTTAAAAAAACAAAACAAAGAAGAACAAGGGGGTGCAACACTTTGCACATATATTCCGAAGATACCATGCACCAGGTTTTGCTTCGAATTGATTTGGGTACACTAAAGCAGCAGAAGGCCCAGAAGAGGACAGAAGGAGGACAATAGCTACAGTAGAACAAACAAATCCCAGCAGGAATATTGGTAAAACATCAAAGCTGGAGCAAAGCTGGAACAAAGGCGCTGGGCAGGGCCACTATCTGAGGTTGCTTGAGGGAAGCTACAGAAGCCTGTCACTGAGAGCCGTCAGGATCACGGTGGATTTCAGTAAGTGAGGCGAGAAGCCTTCATGTTGTAGCAGGGTCTGTCTGTTAGGCTCCCGGTTCCAGAGAAAAGGGACAGGCCTTCTGCTTTCTCCAGCACAACCTCCAGCTCCTGAAAGTCCTGCAGCCGAGCCACGTCCTTGTCCTGGATAGGAAAGACAAAGTCAAATGCACAAAATTCTACCTCCAATTTAACTTGTATAACTAAAATGGTCTTTTGAAAATTATTTAAATCTTCAAAAAGCTAAAAATGTTGGGGCATTGGATTTACACACTAAAGCATTGCATGATGTATCACTGTTGACAGCAAAAAAAAAACAACTGAACAGCCCACTACTCAACTCAAAGTGATGCTCAACAATAGTGAATAAAACAAAACAAAAAAAAACCAGAAAACTCCCTAAACAACTACAAACACATTAGAAAGCAGCCAGTCTTTCACTATTAACTTTTTCATTCAAATAAAAGTTTGGAAAATATGTTTTTATATATAAATGAGGAAAATCATGTAATCCCCATTTACTGTTGAATTTAAAACTATTATCTTTATAAAGCAACCTTCAGCAAAGATGATTAATATAAACATAATTTCAATATATTTTGAATGCATTGCCAAAAATAAAAAATAAAAACACTGCAAACATTCTACTATTTTAGGTTGTAAATTGTTAAATGAAGAAACTATAAATTTAAACATCCCAAACCTGCAGCACAGTTCCTTTAGTTTTTAGTTTAGTTACATTTTTAAATCTTAGTAATCTAACATTAATAACCCGACAGGCTGTTCAATCTAAATGTGATGATGAAAAGATTTAATGTTTATGATGAAGACGCACATTTTTAACCTAAAAATATACCATGCAGTTTGGAGTCTAAAACAACTCTATCATTAGATTCATTTCTACATCTTGCCTTGAAGAAAATGCTTACTGACAGACTGACTTTCTTGACATGACTTTTATCTATAGGAAAATGTTTAAAGAGGGAAATAATGTACAGCCTGGTGGGCTTTCACTAAAATATGATTGTTTTAGTGACAGTATAATAATTTCTGATCAAATTAGAACCAATCTTAAATATGTCAACAGAAAATTATCGTTGTAAAAGAAAAAAAAAAAACTCAGCAGCAACTACCTTTTCCTATGTCGGCTTCAGGATTGGAAAAACAAAACGTTTATTATCAGGCCTGTGATTGTTTAAAAACAGGACGGTTCTCTTTTTGTTGATTTCCTGCTGTCACCATGTTCCATAATGTTATGGAAGGACCTGGAGATGAAAACTTAAGCAAATCCAGAGAGAGAGAAAGGATCCAAACATGGTCTGACTCAGTAGAAGTAAAATGTGCACAGGTTTTAGTCAAACCAAATTCTCTATTTCCACAACAGCCACTTGGAGAGATTAGCTTCATTTCTGCAGGATTATGTTGTATGTTGATTTATCCCTGTGCCATGAATGGTTCTGACTAAGACAGAGAAAAGGTGATGGTTGCTCTGACTTATGAAAATGTAAACATAAAAAAACACCTAATAGAAGAAAAAGAATTAATAATATAATCTAATAGGATAAAATCTAAAGATATGTGTCCTTTTGATCTGAATTAGATTTTTCTAAATGAAAATCTAAGAGAATTTGATTTTCTTTCCTCCAAAAATATTAATACACATGCATATCACTTAAAACTTATGAACAATAAAATGAGTGATTTTCATCCCTTAAGCATTAAAAATCAATGTTGCCCTACAGATTAGCAAATATATGGGGTGCAGTTTGCAAAAATGCAACTAAAATACATAAAAGCTATGAGTTTATTAAATAAATGGTAGATTTTCAAAAGATAAATATATTCCTCAGGATTTGACTCAAAGTAGCATATTTTGCTGAGTGAAATAATAATAATATTCCATTTTGGTACATTTAAAACAAATACGTTTAAAGAGAGTGAAACCTAAAACCTACTTAATGGATTTAAATGTAGGATGATAAAAAACAAAAAACCTCACTTTTAGAAAAAGGACTAAAATAGCAGCTGACATAAAGTTATAAATGGTTTATAATGCTTTCTACTGGGACTGGGAAATAAAAGGCTATTAGGAGTTTTCACCTGAGACCACTCCACCCCCCCCCCTTCAGTCTTCTGACTTTTCTGTCATATTATACTGAAATAAAATTTAACGATCAGTTAACTTTTTTTTTTTTTTTCAGTGGCCTAATCCTCTTCCGTGGTGTACATTTTTTAATGATAAAGTCAGTAAGATTATTGTTGGGTGAACATTTGGGCTACTTGCACAAGATTTATGTTATGAGTATTTAAATTTAAGTTTTTTTACAAATGTTTTTTAAAAATTCTTTATTTCTGGCTAAATATTTGTTACTTTGCGCAATAGATTTTCTTTTTAATACTTCAATTATGTTTCAGAAATGAAAAAATGGAGGGAAAATAAATCAATAAAAAAAAATAAAAAAAAAATTTTTTTTTTTTACCATATTGCCCAGCCCTAGTAACAAGAAATTCAACTGGACACATGGTAAAATGCATGTGTGTTCTCTGTACCTTCCGTAACAAGGTGTTTGGCAGCTTGCGAATCTTCTCCACATGCTCAGCACTGATATCCAGCTCACGGCAGCAGACTCTCAGAAGGGAGCGGTAGGTGAGCTCCTGACGATCCAGTTCTACTTCGATGAAGTCGTTCTCCCGGGCATTTGGGTTTTGGATACGAACTTTCAGAACCAGCTCTAGAAGGAAAGAATGAGACATACTTCTTTACTACAAACATAATGTGGATTATTCAACAAAAGACAAAGGACATCAGAATAAGTGAGTCACTAATTTATCATACTCCTTTAAAAGAAAGACCAGATAAAATTATCTCTAACTGTCTCTTTAGGAGGGAGCCATAGTTTAAAGCGGGTGACGTTAAATCTACTGAGGGCCTTTCAACAAGTAGGACGCTGCATGTGAGTGTTTTTTAATTGCTCTATTTATGTAAAGTGCATAGCATGATCTAACACACCTTGTACATTGACGGGAAAGGTGCTGGTGAAGAAGAAAGGCTGAAATGCCGGCATGGACCCGATGGCCTGGTTGTAGCTCAGCTGTTGTGGAATAGACTGCTGTCTGCTCATGGTGGGGTTGGGGCTGGCCACTGGAGCTTGAACCTGGCTCGCGCAACTGCTAGCCAAGCCTGGGTGAGGTGAGGCTGACGGAGGTGAACTCACAGTACCATTGTGGGCCACCACGTGAGAGTAGTCGGTGTGGTTGGCCAGATGAGGCTCGACTGAGAGGTCCATAGGCACTGTGCGGTCGACGACAGTGTGACTGTGGGAAGAGGTTGTGCTGGATGACACGCCATTTTGCTCAGGCACAGGAACTAGCTCAGCAGCTGAAGGTTGGCTGTGATTGACGACTGGATTCGTTGGAGGGGCGGGTCCATCACTCTGGGGTTTCTGGAGCTCTTCAGTGGAGGAAAGCGAGGCTGAATCGCTCTGCGTGTCTTCACTGAAGTCCCTTGAGCCGTTCTGTGTGAGGTGCTGGTTTTGGAGCGTCTCTGACTTATTGTCCATCTTGGAATACATGAAGGGTGGGTTGGACAGGTAATTCGGGATAAATGGCAAGTTGGACTCCTTGACCTCAGGCACTTCCTCCACCTCAACTATTCAAGTGCAGAGATGAACATTAATGACAAAAGAATTGACATAATAACACAGACAGACCTTAAACAAACAGCTTTCAATAAATTATACCATGGGTTTTAGCTGAATATACCAAAAATGACAAATAAAACAACAGGATCATTGTGACAAGACATACCTCCTAAGAGTCGCTTGATCTCTGGTTTAGATGTAAGCTGAGAGGCGAGCTCCTCTTTAGCTGTGAGGATTTCTTTGTCTGCTCCACAACTGAGTAAGTAGGACACTATGTGCTTATGGTTCCTCTTGCAAGCCCAGTGCAGGCATGTCCTGGAAAAAGGATTGGAAAAGCAACAGGGTTTATTCCACTCTTTTATCCTCTATAGAACCTTTGTTAGACAATGTAAGAAAACAATCAACAATAACTACCAATAATATGGCTACATTTATCATGTCTGACAACAACCAAGTGTGAGAGTTTAAAATGAACATGCTGCTACTATAAGATGAAGGTTTTAATATCCAACAAATATAGCTTAGATCATATATATATATATATATTAATCTCAAACCTTCTCTTTAAAGGGACATTAATTTGATTTGATTAAAAGTTTCTTAATCATTCTGTATTAAAATCTAAGCTTGACAAATGATATTCATTTTTATCAAGCTATAAATAATGCTTTATAGCTTGATTTATCAATATCTTTCATTTTGTAAAATAGCACTAAGAGATATTTTTACATTGGTATGGTTTTTATTTTCCAAAGCACATTTTAGAATTTAATCCTAACATTTTTATGCCTATTTTATTATTTTTGCCAATCTTGGCTATACAGATCCTTCAGTAGAGAAATGCTATGCTCCGGCCTACACAACTATGGGAGATACCTCTGATTTGACAGTGCAACTCATTAACAGACATCATCCAGAAGGAGGGCAAGCCACACAAGTAATGTGTCTAAGGAGATTGTTGAAAGATGAGGGGAAGGACAAGGTGCACAAACAATAATAACCATTGTAGCTTTTGAGATAGCCTGATAGACAAGACTAAATGTGAGATTAAATGTGTAATTTAGTCTGGCCCTGATGAATGAGACACCGGAAGATTGTTGATGAGAATACCCCGTTGTTTTAAAAATGAATGAGCGTAGAGCCTCTTCCTGCTCACGTTTCAATGAAAACCCCAAGTCTAATCCTTCCAAAACTGATTCCAAAGCTCAGTCAAACGAGAACTGTTCAATAGTTGTTGCCATCTTCCTTTTTGTGCTTTCTCCAGCGTTGTGCAGGTTTGTCGTCATGCCTTCAAAACCCTGTCCGCTTTTGTAACCTATATTAGATTTTTGAAATATTAGGATTATCAAATAAATAATCCAAGTTAGAGTAAATTCAAATAATTCTTAAATTAGGTTCGTCTGCTAGAGGAAGTGGCAAATTGTAAAACACAAGAGACAATCAGATGGTGCAAAATTGGTGAATTGTATTAATATTTACAATATATACAGGTTATCAACAGTTGAAGAAGTCCAGAATGTTTCCTTAATCCAAGGAACTTAAGAGTTCATGCTGGTGAAGAAAGGAAAGAAAAAATAAAATAAAATAATCCAATTCTTTCTGGAGCAGGTCAGTCCAGAGTGAAGATTCTATGGCTGGATGTCTCCAACCAATTAGAAGAGTTATCTTTGATAGAAGGTGTAGTATTTTAGGATCTGCTTATTGGTTAGCTCGCCAGTCTGGTCAGCATACCAGACAATCCATGATTTATCCCAGCAGCAAATTCCTTTGATTGGGAATCTGTAACACACCTGGCCAGTTCCCTCTTGACAAACCGTGATCGCTACAACGTTCGGTCGAATGCTCACACGTCTACATAACAGAGTCCGACAGCGTCTCCTACCTAAGGTGCTGATAAGCAGCCATATATGCGGCAGCTGTTACTTTGGGACGCTGACATGCAGCGGTCACGTGACTTCAAAACCGTGCGAGAACAATATTTTTCTTGCTTGGTTTGTATAGGATAATTGAAGAAAAGGAGGATTTTTAATTAAATCTTTAAATAAGTTAAACAAAATGGAAAAAAAATAAATAAACTGAATCCAACATGAAAATTTATCCTGGTTACACTTTGCATCCAGAAATTCAAAACACATCTCTGCGTTGTGATTGGCCTGCCAGTTCTAGGGCCTGGGGCATTGATAGAGACTAGACCAAATTTGTGGGCGAAAATTATTTTTGCCGCTGGCGGGTGGGGCTAGTTTACTAGGCTAGCTTTGAGAGGTTTCTGACACACAGCACATCCAAGAGCATGGGGGGAAATTTACAATACAAACTGCAGCTTGAATCTGTGTGTCAAGTGCCACTGGACATAAATTATATCCAGGACATTGGCTTTAACTGCTACATCCCACCAGTACACAACAAACATCAGGAATTTCTTCCTATGTTCTAGAGAGGAAAAAACAAGGACTGGACAGTTGTGAAAGTTTCCTTTTATCGTTTAGAAATCGAGGTCCTAGAGTTTGGAAGAAGAAAGGGAAGGCACAATCCTCTGGGTTCAATGTGAAGTTTCCAAAGTTATATATGTTTTTGAGAGTCGTATCCCCTGCTGGTGTTGGTCAACAATGTTTTATCAAGTCAAAAAGTCAGTGCAGCCATCTACCAGGCAGTTTTAGAATACATCCTGCTTCGCTCTGCTGTTAAGCTTTATGGAAATCATGATTTTAGTTTTGGAAAGGAGCTAACACCTGCCCACACAGCAAAAGAACCAAAAGCTGCGTTTAAGCCCCTGGTTATTGCTCTACCTGACTGGAAAGTGGTCTGGCTGAAACCACATAGCGAAATTATAGAGTGTAGCCAAAGCAAACAGAAGCCAAAAGTGTGAGTCCAGAAATCTCTGCAGTTAACTTTAAAGAAGCCAAATTTACTAAGTAACTAAATCTTATGTTTACATTAGCTGTAAGCTATGATCATTGCACGAACAGATATTTAAAAGGTAAAATTATAGATTTGAAAACTAAAATAAATATTTTGAATAATAATATTTGATCTACACCTATTTAGAACCTTTCTAAACCCCTGGATTTTGCTTATTGAATTTAAATAAGTTTCACAGTAAATACTGTCAACTGAATATGATGTCATACATGTTCATGCAAGCAACAACAAACCTGTTTGACCATCGACATGCAAAGTGACAAAAAGGCATTTGGATAAAGCAGATCAAAGCAGATAAAAGGGCAAGGCTGACCGGTTAACAGGATTAGTGTCGCCAAATAGGATAAGGCTGACCGTTTTTATCCCTGTACCAACATACTTGGCTCATTGATTCCCACGAACCTTTAAACTGACACCAATATTCAGACGCAAACAGATGTTTGTTTGTTTTTTCAGAAACACTTACCAACCGTTGATCTCGTTCTGTGAATTGACATTTACGCCGCTCTCAACAAGCGATCGCACTTCGTCGATATCCCCAATAGCAGATGCTTCTCTTAGCCGCTCCTGTAATTCTTTATCCAACGAAGTTGTGGACATTTTGACAGAGACAGGTCGCGGAGTGGGACCATATGACGTCGCCAATGACTCGCAAATAAATTGGCTTTAAGTTATCAGTGAAATATTGCTGTCCTCACAGCTCCACTGACAGAGTGGTCAGCTAACATTAGCTAACCGAGCTAACCTTACCTACTAGTGGCTAGCTTGGTCGGGGATGCTAACCTCTGACAGCGAATAGCTTTTGACTAAAGTCACTTCGTTTATGAAGCGTTCTTTGTGTTAAACCCTAAACATTTAAATGCACTGTTAGTTCGTGTTATACTACAACTGTCCACGGGTCATTCAATCACACAGTAATGACGGTGTTCCGTCAAACCAACGCCTGGTCGGAAGAGTTAGGATGTTACACCACCCCCTGGTCGGAAGAGTTAGGCTGTGACAACAGCGCCCTGTCAAATAGTTCCGTTTTCTCCTACTTTACATCAAAATACATTTTTGTTTTTGCCCTTACTCTTTATAAAATGTGTCCCATTTATTTGTAGACTTGACAGATGAATCCAGTGTAAAAACACAAAGAAAAATATAATTGTTTGATTTATCCAACACCTGTGGCTGTCTGACTTTTAACATAAACAGTGAATCTTTTAAAATAAAACTCATGAAAATAACTTAAATATTAGCTCACAGCTCCTTGTGTCCAACTAATAAGATGCTTAAATTATAAACTTGAATGGCAAATATATTGTTTTATCTCTAAAATATGACGGCTTGACTTAGATGTTTTCATCCAATGATGACTACATTCATTGGGGTTTCCAAATTGACCTGGTCTAACTTTTTTAATTGAGGCCTTCAGACATATAACGTAATTATCGGTTTCTTCAATTATGTCAAATTAACTAAGCAGCAGTCAAAGAACAGTTACAATCCATACAATTACGCCATAATAATTATGCTTGACTTTCAATATAATGATCATTATAATATGTTCTGAAATGCTTTATGATGCTCGCTTTTGAATAAGTTCCTTTTTCCGTCTTGATCAGAACATTTCCCAAATGTTCAGAGGTGTCAAGTAACGACGTACAAATAATTTTTTACTGTACTCAAGTACTCATTACATTTTCACACAAGTATCTAGAGTTAGACTTAGAAAGATTTAATTTGTCATTTTGTTTACACAAGTGTAAAACAAAAAGAAATTTCTTTAGGAAACAGCTCACTGGACAATTTCAGCTTTTAAAAGTGCAACCTTGAAAAATAGAAAAAATGACTATAATTTTACAATTCTAACAACATTTTGGTGATTTTCTTTATATACAAATAAATAATGATAAAATATAATAATAAAATACAATACAATAATCCATTTCTACAAAACATTCAGCAGTCTAATGGCAGTGGGAAAGAAACTGTTGTGGAATCTGCTGGACTTTCATCCAATGCTTCGAAGTCTCTTCCCAGAGGGCAGCAGGGAGAACAGTCCATGGTGGGGGTGTGAGGGGTCATTTATGATGTTACGGGCTCGGGACACGCAGTGCTGGGAGGAAATGTCTTTTATGGAGGGAAGAGGAACCCTGATGATCTTCTCTGCTGTTCTCACCACTCTACTCACTTTCTTCCAGTCTGAGGCGCTGCAGCCTCCACACCACACCACAAACGTTACTCTTGGCTTCGGTTTACTGTTTATAAATATTTATTTCACGTCATGTGCGCCATCCAATGCAGATCATTGGTGCCGTCCACATCTAGTGAAAAATTGTGTAATTGGATGAGTCATATAACGCAAACACTCATTGGTTAGCCAATGGAAATCATCAGAAGCAAGTGTTTTTAAATTGCTAAATAATCCTGCTAAATAAGAGACTTCAGCTGTCATATATATATATATATATATATATATATATATATATATATATATATATATATATATATATATATATATATATATATATATATATATATATATATATATATACCGGTATATATATATATATATATATATATATATATATATATATATATATATATATATATATATATATATATATATATATATATATATATATATATAATGAACATATAAATGAACATATATATGTAACAAGTAAATTTTTCGGCTTTGATCAATAAAGTCAATCGCTCAATCAATCAATTACATATTGGTTTATTATACCATAGATATTAAGTAAAGTAGATAAATCTATTGTGAGTATACTGTCATTTTTGTGTTGCCCTGCCCCAGCACCCCTTGCAACCCCAACTGTGATTAAGCGTGACAGAAAATGGATGGGGAAGGGAAAGGTAGATCAATAATCAAAAATAAAGAAACAGAATTATGGCAAAAATATGGGATGAAGATGAGAAAGGAAAAAGATTATATAGAGTTAAAAAAATCTGTAATTGTTAAAAATTATGGAGAAAGAAGCAGAAGGGAAGATATAATTTATACTAGATTAAGAAATGGACATACCTACTTGAATGAGTTTTTGTTTGTACTAGGGAAGATAAATAATGATATATGTGAGGGTTGTAAAAGAAAAGAAAATGTGGATCATGTTTTGATGGATTGCATTAAATATGCAACTGAAAGAGAGAGAGGATGAGGGAAGTAATCATGCAAAAAGGGAGAGAATTGAGTATTAAAGGAATTTTAGGGACAGATGGAGATAAGGAGGAAATTTGGTTATTAAGAAAGCATTGTTTTTATTTTTTACATAAAACAAACATAAAAAATAGAATATACAGTAGTAGGTGGAACCATAGAAATACGCACTCATGTACAGTAGGTGGCGGCATCTAAGTTGTTTGCAATCCGCCAATCTAACAAAGAAGAAGAAGAAGAAAATCGATCAAAAATCCATACCAGTAGGTGGCGGTAATGCGTCTGTAAATTGCATGCCAACCGCAATTAAACACCCCAGAGGAAAAAAAATGAACGAATGCATCCGGTTCAGACCCAGCTCTTTGTAGAGGAGCCAGAGCGGGCGGTGTTGCTAGCGTCTGCCATTTTGGTTAGAACTAGTTTGCGTTATTAACAGGCTGTTGTGGCACTCCGAAAGAGGGCAACTATATTCTAACAAAATGCTGTCTGCAGCCCAGTTACTCGATGAGTTAATGGGCCGAGACAGAAATCTGGCCCCTGATGAGAAGCGGTCTAATGTGCGATGGGACGATGAGTGTGTAAGTTAGCGTGGTAGCCACCGTTAGCTTCTGATATGTGAGGAGCTAACATGCTTTAAAGAGAGTGGTCATTTTATGCCATGGTATCTTAGATTAGGAAGTCACATTCTCTTCACTACCATCTAACTTTGCTTCGGGTTTAATAAAGATTAATAAGATAAAATAAAGAGGCCTTAGCGTTGCACGGTGCGCTATGTGCGCATGTAATGAGAATTAACCTGGATTAGCTAACAGTTAAGCTAGCAAACTAGCCTGTAGCTCACAATGAAATGTAGCAAAGGCAATTAAACGATTAAAACCTTTGTTTGGGTGCAATGTATTGGGGTTTTTCTGGTATTTAGTTATAAAATCAATTATTAATGTGTCAAAATGCGTGTTGCCTTTAATGTTACCCCACATGTTCACTTGCTCTAACCTCTGCTTCTTTATCAAACTTCATACAAGAGTTATCACAATTGTTTAACCAATGCTAAAAGATGCTAAAACTGTTAAGTCTTTTGTTACACGTAATGTTTTAAGTTATTTAGCCCAATTGCCATATTACTGGATAATAAGTTTTGCCAATAAAACCGCAAGGAAAAACTTTTTTACCAGGACCAGGCATTTTAAGATATCTTTATCGCAACAGTTTTGGTTACAAAGAACTTGTTAGATATTTGACTTATTTATTTATTTTTTTATCAAAGATGGCGATACTGTATCATATTTTGGGAATATTATTATTTTTTTGTATTTCATACAAAGTCCATTGTACAATGTTGCAGCTTGTAGCCTTATCAGCGTTCAAACAATTGGGGCAAAAATGGAAGATAATGATTACTTCTATCTACTGATGCTTTTGTTTCTTTACTATTTTGTCTTAATGAGGTAGACATAGGCTCATATTATCCTTTATATTTCTTGTTTTCTTTGATCAAGGTCGTAGGTTCAGGAAAACTGATATTTCTGTTTTTCCGTTTAGGTCTGTCGATACTATCTATGCGGCTTTTGTCCAGCTGAGCTTTTTACAAACACACGCTCTGATTTGGGTAAGGACCTGTTAAGCAATAATATTGTATTCAGTACTGTATCTAATGACTTTAGTTAAAACTTTGGCTTAATGACACATTTCTGTTTTGTTCCAGGACCTTGTGAAAAAATCCATGATGAAAATCTAAGAAAACTGTAGGTTCACCAAAATGTATAAGAAATTATTTTTTGTTTTTATTTTGGATGTCTTGACCCCGGTGAACTTCTCTGTCACAGATATGAGAAAAGCTCTCGGTTTATGAAGGAAGGCTATGAGCGAGACTTCCTGCGGTATCTACAGTCCCTCCTTGCAGAAGTAGAACGGCGGATTCGAAGAGGACATGCTCGTCTTGCACTTTCCCAAGCTCAACAAAATGCGGGGGTTTGTATATTTATTGTCCTTTTTTGGAAGATGGACTATTCATAACAAAAAAAACAAACAAAAAAAAACATTGGAAAACAAATGCACCATATGTCTGATGTGTTGTGTCCTCATTTTTTAGGGCCCAGGTCCATCTGGAAAGAATGAAGAGAAAGTTCAAGTTCTTACAGAGAAAATAGAAGACCTCGTTGTACAGGTTCGCAACTCATTTCTTGACAGAAATATGCAACCATATGTCTATATAGTTGCAGAGAATAATGTTTGGGAAACCAGGGGAAAAAAAACAAAACAAAAACTTCAAACTCTTCCGACTACTATAAACAAATGAAACCCATCTGATGCTTTCCATCTATGAATTCAGATTCATTTCATCACTAAATCTGAAAACGGTGGTTTCAATTAGGAGTTACTTTTTTTCATAATGTTTGAAATAGTGCTGTCAATCGATTAAATTTTTTAATCGCGATTAATCGCATCAATGCCTGAGTTAACTCGCGATTAATCGCATTTTAATCGCACATTTTTTTTCCTGATTGAAAATCATTTAAATACTCTGGATGACATACAAAAAAATACATACAGGCTAGGTTTGTGCCAATGTTCTTTTTTTAAAATGAAAACAGGTCACAGATACTGATTTATGCCATAGAAACATATGGCAAGAAGATGGGGAGGCATGTAGCAAAAAATAACAAATATGTAGCCAAAAAAAAGGCCCTGAAAACAGGCTGATGTAAAAGACAGTCTTTACAGTTAATACAGTCTTTTGAACAAAGACAAGCATTTTACCCTACTGCTATAAAATTTAGTAGAATTAACATTAGATGTTAATTAACCAAGGTAATAATGAACAATTTTCAATCAATACATCAAAATCAATAGACCAACATCACTAGATGAAGGTAGTCTATGCTCTCTAGAAAGTTACTTTTCAGCCTCTTAACAAAAATGAGAACACACACACACCCACTCACCCACTCACCCACACACAGACACACCCACCCACACACACACACACACACACGATACCGACAAGAGTGCCGTAGCAGATTCCATTTCACCTCAGTAATCTGTTTTCTCAGCGTATTTCAGGTTGCTACTAGTTACCAGACACTCAACTTGTTTGTTGGTGGTGGGGCTTAAAGAAAAGGCACTAGCGCCACCCAGTGTATGAGCGTCTTTTTTCCTTGAGGAGCTCCGCTCTGGAAGCCTATGAGAAATGCATAGACTGGGGGAAAATAGCCCCGCCTTCCCGCAGGCTGCAGCGGGATGCACTTGGAAAATTGTACCATAAAACCACATAGCGTTAATCTCGCGTTAAAAAAATTATCGCCGTTAAAATGGCCTCGCGTTAACGCGTTAATAACGCGATAATTTTGACAGCACTAGTTTGAAACATTTTGATACAATGTATTTATACATTTTGTATAATTTTATAATAAAGTTTTACAGAAACATTTGATCATTTATTTTATGTCAATTATGTATCCTCTTAAAATCCCCCTGATTGCCGGCGACAGTTTTTAAAGCTTTTACAACTAACAACTCAGAAAACATGAAAATTCCAACAGTAACATTTTTACCAATATAGACATGTTAGCTATCGTTAGAAAGCTTTGATGTTTCCATAGTTCAACCACCAAGTTCATTTTATGGATACACCGAGCACAATTAACACAGATATAGCAGCATGTCAAAATGTAAACATGATAAAAGAAGCCACAACAACATGGCTTTAAAGCATCCAGAAGTCATATTATAAATTAAATCCTCAATTTTTTCAACTCCGTTGGTACATAAGGGTCCATAAGATTAAAAGTAATCCAGAATATTCATAATGACAAACTTCCATGATGAGAAAACCAGCACATAACGTCTGTTTTTTGACATCAGAAAAGTTAGCTGGTCATAGCTAATGCTTTTAGCATCTTGCTAATAAGACTGACTTCCTGAAATGTTAGCCTGCAGTGTTTTTTTTTTTAACATCGTCTTCCTACCTACAAGACAAGTGTCCACATCTTTGTATGCCTCGATTTGATTTAGGGACAGCCGAGGAACAAGCTCCTTGTCTGTCAACCAGTGATGCACCGTGTAGTTATTTATCAAATGAAATGTTTTATCTGTATTTTTTATATAAAAAAATTATTAAAGTTATTTTATATAATTTCTTATCTTATCTTTTATATATATATATATATATATATATATATATATATACACATACAGAGACAGCAGTCAGTAAGCAGATTACAATGGGTCAGTGTTATTCTATGGGTCAATTGGCTCATTTGGCACAATCTAGCTAGAAGTTAAAGGCCCCACATCTCTGAAATTAATACCAAGAGGTCTGAAAACACAATGAGACAAGTCTATTCTCAAGCATTCTCTATTGCTGCTGTTAAAAAAGACCTATTATTTTCAGGAGAAAAAAAACAACTTTGAGTCTTGTTTGAACTGATGCAGTTTAAGCTGTGTTCTACTCGCACTATTTTCATTTATATTTCAGAAACTAGAAGGTGTTCACTTTCAAATGATGTATCACACATAGTTTGGGCTTACAGTTCCTCAGTTATTTGCTTTTCCAGTTGGGTATGCAAAATAGGCGAGGATTGCCCAAAATTAGGTGGGTTTTAAGAGGTTATAACATTATTTTGGCCTTACAGCCTAATGCTTTACTTGAGCGCTAATGTGAGTTAGCTGGTAACATTAATGTAAATTGGTAAATTTAAATCTAAAACTCTTGCGTTACTAATAATTCTTCTTTGCCTGCTACTCAACTTGGCCATGTACTTATCTGTCCTTAGATTGAGGAACTGGGTTCAGAAGGACGTGTTGAGGAGGCTCAGGGAATGATGAAGCTTGTGGAGCAGCTGAAAGAGGAGAGGGAGCTGTTAAGCTCCACCCCCTCGGTGAGTCACGTAACGCAGGCTAATCGGCCTACTGATGCCTCAAGATAGTAGGCACTGCTTGTGTAATACCGTTTGTTTTCGAACAGCAGTTTGTCCTACAATGTGCTCAAATACATCAATGTAACATTAACACATACTGTAGTTGGTTGACCAAAATCCAGTTTTTGATGAGTTGAATATTTTGTTTTCTTTAGACCATAGAGAGTTTTGCTGCTCAGGAGAAGCAGATGGAGGTGTGTGAGGTGTGTGGGGCCTTCCTCATCGTGGGTGACGCACAATCCCGAGTGGATGACCACTTAATGGGCAAACAGCATATGGGCTACGCTAAGATCAAATCTACCGTAGAGGAGCTAAAGGTAACAGATTAGATGATATTGAATTAAAGGAGAAGTTCGGTTTTTTACACTTTAAGCCCATTTTCTGTAGTGTCCAGGATGAAATCGAATGAAGGACACCAAAATTTTGACAATTGGTCCTGTCTCTGCTTTTTGGCTCATTTAGAATCAACCCCTGGCTGCTTTAGAATGGCTAGCATAGAGCATGTCCGATAATGTCCTTAAAACAACCTTAAACGTTCTTTTTTTAAAATATGCTACTCACCGTGTCGTCAGCGCTGTTCAATGACGTTCCAAAAAAAAGTTTCGTGAAGAAAAAACGTTCCTGTAGTGTTTTATTTAGCATTTTGTAATCCCATTGAGTTCTGTAGGAATAGTCAATATTCCGCCGCCACCGGAAACGGAAATGGGGCCTGTTTACACAGTTGTAGTCTTTTCGCTTCACTCTGTGTACTCCGACGTCGAGAATCAAGAATCCACCTTTCGTATTCCATTTTCAGAGTTTTTTAAAGTGTTTAACAGAGACGTTAGCACCTCGACGTCGGAGTACGCAGAGTGAAGCGAAAAGACTACAACTGTGTAAACAGGCCCCATTTCCGTTTCCGGTGGCAGGGGAATATTGACTATTCCTACAGAACTCAATGGGATTTACAAAATGCTAAATAAAACACTACAGGAACGTTTTTTCTTCACTAAACTTTTTTTGGAACGTCATTGAACAGCGCTGACGACACGGTGAGTAGCATATTTTAAAAAAAGAACGTTTAAGGTTGTTTTAAGGACATTATCGGACATGCTCTATGCTAGCCATTCTAAAGCAGCCAGGGGTTGATTCTAAATGAGCCAAAAAGCAGAGACAGGAGCAATTGTCAAAATTTTGGTGTCCTTCATTCGATTTCATCCTGGACACTACAGAAAATGGGCTTAAAGTGTAAAAAACCGAACTTCTCCTTTAACTGAGCATTGCTCATCTCTGATGTTTATAAGCGGTTAAATGTCGAGCTTTGTTCAGTTTGGATTTTTATTAAATTTTTTTCCTTTATTTCGGATCTTAGGAAAAACTCCGTCGCCGCTCTGAGGATCCTCAAGTTGAAAGCCCTGCTCTCAAACGGGACAGAGAAGAGCGAGAGCGCGAGAGGGAGGAGAGAGAGAAGAAGCGCAAAGAGGAGGAAGAGAAGGAGAAGGAACTGGAAAAGGAGAAGGAACGTGAGCGGGAGAGAGAGCGAGACAGAGAGCGGGAGCGTGAGAGGGAGCGGGACAGAGAACGAGAGCGGGACCGGGAGAGGAGGGCGAGGCGAAGCCACTCCAACAGCCGGCACTCCAGCCGGGCGTCTGAAAAGAAACGCAGCAGATCCCGTGACCGCCGGAGGTCAAGGAGCAGAGACCGGGATAGGGAACGCAAGCGCAGCAGGTATGCTATGCTACCTTTTTTTCCCCCTTTTAATAGCTTCAATACAACTAGATTGGAAATGAAAATAATCAGATTGGTAAAATGGTGCTTCCTTAATACAGGGAACTAAACATTATGAAATTATTTTTAAAATAAAACACCAAATCTTTCTTTTCTATCTCAATCAGCAGACTTAAAATTACGACAATTAGAATTTTCAGCAATTCTAAAGATAAAACAAATAACACTAGATGGCATTAAGGAGCAGTTATTTGATGTGTAAAAGGGAGGAAGTTATAAGGAGGCTTTCCTATAATGTTTGCTTTGATTTGTCACTTTTTGTTTGTCAGGAGCCGCGACAGAGAGAGGAGGCGCAGTCGTGAGCGCTCCGACAGAAAACGTCGCTCCCGAAGCCGCGACAGGAGGAGGTCTCGCAGCACAGAGCGAAAGTCTCACCGTCACCGCAGCCGAAGTCGCTCCCGCAGCAGGGACAGAGAAAGAGACAGGGACAAGGATAGAGAAAGAACCCGAGACAAAGGGAGGGAGAAAGACAAAGAACGGTCACCAAAAGAAAAAGGTAAGAGCTCGGTTCCTCACTCAGCTCCTTATTGGTCAGTGTCCAGCATGCTGCTGAAGCTGTCACATTTAGTAAAATCTGAGATCTTTGTTTTATTCACCTTTTAGACTAAAGAAATCCTTGTAAATATTTAAGTATTATTAAAAGCTTATGCTACGCTCACACCGCAAACAGCAAGAGTAGCAAAAACACTCGTGCTGCTTCATTTTTGCTGCTTGTACAAGTTTAGTTCTGATGCACGGCTGCGCAATGGAAAAGTGGGTCTGATGCTCGTTGGGGGGCGTTCTTTTTTTTTTTTTTTTTCCTGTAACAATGACAGTTATAAATGCTGTGATCAGTAGGTAAAGAGTAGTTTTAATGTTTTTTAGTGAGAAAATCCACCTGAAACCACTCAGACCCCCGCATACCTGCGGTGTGGTGTAACCATGAACACATGGTACATGAGGACCAGAGAATATTTCTTACTAAATATGACTTTTAAACACATTTTCAATATACATTAAACTTGATGAATGATGCATTTGTCACCGTCTGATGTTCTGGGTTTTATATAGTTTTTTTTATAGAGAAGATATTTCTAAAATGTTGCACTAGATGAGTTTTGCAAAATGATAGTACTCAGTTTTTACACGCTCCCTAAGCCTTTTATTCATTTCATTTTGTAGTAATATCATTATTATATCACTTTGTTTCATATAAGGAAATGTATGATGATATAAGTTTTGGTTTATGGTGGTGCATTAGTGTTGTTTAGATCAAAGCACATGGATATGTAATGTAAATTCTTTTATTGTCCCACAATGGTGAAATTCACTCTATGAATTTTTACCCTCCCCCCGGGTAGCAGTGTACGGTTAAGGGTTTTGCTCCGGAACCCAGAGTGGATGCTGTGGGGATATTAAAGTGGCCTAGTCAAATCCTGATTTAAACCTATAAGTAGACATTGTAACAAGACTATTTCCTGATCCTTGTGTCAGTTGTAACTCTAATCAGGTCATGGGAACTAAATATAAATGAATACCATATTTTACTAAGTTAATATCTTTAAAACTGATGAAGTGGAATCCATTTCCCCGTCCGTCTGCTTCATGATTATTAGGCCTCTCTCCTGGTATCCAAGAAACCAGCTCTTCTAAGTGAGCCATTTGCCCTTGTAATAGATGTTGGACTGATTAATGCATTAATATCTGTAATGTTTTGTCAGACCGTAAGGCGACAGAGGAGAAGAGCAGCTCTAAAAAAGAAAGCGATTCAGCCACCATTAAGGCTTCGTCAGAGCCGGAACCGATGCAGACCGAGGCTGCCGCCTCCTCCCCTCTGCTTAACGGCCAGCAAGAGCTCCTCCAATCTGAAGGTGACACTCAGTCCAATTAAAACTGATCTGATAGGACCTCAGATCAGGCTCAGGTAAGTGCGCCCTCCTCTTCACTCCCCCTGGCTCTCGCCCTACCCTCTCACACTCTGTCCCCTTTCCTTCAACCCTCCCACCTCCCTTCACCCTCCCTTTCTGTCCCTCCGTTTCCCACCCTGTTAATGTTCAGTTCAATGCCTATGATTTTTGTCAAATGTACTGTATGCAAATATCTTTATCCTGTTTTTGATTAGTGCATCGTAAGTATGCACTGAAGATGAAGGACTAGGCCCGATGAATGAGAAGAAAATAGAAAACATTCACACAAAGCCAAGAGGGAAAGACCAGTGTAGCCCTGAGCAAACATGCCCAGAGGTACCCCTCGTTTTGTATCAGTTTTTGATCCTTACAGATGTTTCATTTCACTCTGTGGAAGAATTTTCAGAACCAAAATTTCTTTAGCTGTATATACATGTTTTTTACTTTTATGAAATTATTTTCTTACTTTGAAACAGGAGAACGTAGTAATTGCTGTTTTTTTCTATCCAGGGATGTTAAGTTTTATCTTGGGAATTTGCCCAACACGTGTAAACACAAAGTTTTCTTACTAAAGGTGTTGGCGAAGATCAACTCATGGATTTATTCTCCAGCTTACTGTGCCTGATAATGCCATGCACTGTGTTTTTCTTTGGGGAGGGGGTTTTATAGCACCTGGGGAGGGGGTGGGGGAATACTAAGGACACTAACTGGAGGTGTAGGGTTTATCGGATGAATTGCAGCTGACTTCTATACCTCACACAGCGTTGGTGTTGTGAGCGAGACCACATGAGAAAAAGGGCAAATTAAAAATCTTGGATACTCTCTGACTGTCAAACTGTGCAGGTACTCACCCCAGGTACTCCTTTCTCTACCCACATCCATTTCTGAATGCTGTTGCCTGTCTGAAAAACAAGTAGTTACTTCTTTAGAACATGTATCCATTGTGTGTATATTTAAATGGTCTGCTTTGCTTCTGTATTTGGTGCCATGTCGGGGGAAAAAACTGTAATTTGAATGGATTATCTGAGATTATAGGCAGCTTTTATATCCTTTTACCATTGGTTGAAATTGTCACTGACATGTTTAGAATATTATTATTATTTTACAGTTCTGCTACATGTCAGACACATTTCCACTTTGGTGAAAGGAATATTATTGAGGTTTTTAATTAGTTTGGAAAAACTGCTAAATTTGTAGTTATACAGCAGGTAAAATATTTTAAAGTTGAATGAGAACGAATTTAGAATTTCCAAATACATTGGAACTCGAATGCTTATAATAGGTAAAATTATCATTTTTGTTTTCCTTACTGTTAAGGTTAATGATCTACATTTCCCCCTGTTAATAAATGGCTATATTTGACCAGCAGATAAAGTATTGCCTGCATAGCTGGCTGTCTTTGCTACGATGCTATGTTGTGGGACCCTTGCTAACATTGAATGTTGTGGCCGTTTTGCTCTGCAGGGGAAGCTGGAATATCTTGTGGAGGAAGAAGCAGAAGAGCGCACCCATCTTTACTCTGAACCTGACTACGCTGCTTAAAAACAAGGTGAACCACAAATGTGTAGGGATCGTTTAAAAACAAACAAAACATGTATATATCCAAACGAGGAGAGAAGGTTATTTGATTTTTGTTGCTCTGGAATTGGCTGGATAAAGGCAGTTGTGGTTCATCTGATAGAAACTTAGAAAAAAGTTCTCATTGGGCTTTTTTTCCTTCTGTTAATCTTTACACATCCCCTGTTTCTTGGCATCTAGTGAAAATACAATAAAAATCAGTGCTCGTGGTTTGTATTCATAATCAGGTTCTTCTCCTGCCTTTTTTTTTTTTTTTTTTAAGAGCTTAAATTAAAAGCGTTTGTATTATGTAAGGACCTTGGTAGGGAGTTTTATGTTTTCTCCTCCACTTAGAGCTCACATTTCATGCTCTTGTCCCATAAATGTAAAATATACTGATTTAATTTTGATCTGAAGCTTTTCATAATTTGAGATTTGTTTATTTTTTTTTGCCTTGCTTTTAATGTACATGTCATGATTAATTAAAAAGTAAAAAGTCTTGTTTTGTCTTGTGATGTTTTTTAGCTTCTTGTTAAAATGAAAATTAATAAAGGTTTTTATCATAGGGTTAAATAGGGAAGGCTAGTTCTGTTGTGGAGGTGAAAAAAAAAAAAAAAAGCCTTGCGGATGATCTTCATGAGACCGCAGCACTTCCCTTTCTCCAGCCAGAGGCATCTTTGGAGCTGATACTGCAAGAAGTCATTTTTGCCCACAGTTTTCTTATTTGAAGAACCTTAATGTTACTACAGCATTTCATGTTATTTGGGTTCAAAATGTAAGTCTAAATTGAGGTATATTATTCTAGTCCTGAAGGGGGTTTGGGTTAGACCCATTTTAGCTCCTTTAACAGATCATTTTCAGATCATTTATCACTTTTTTTTTTTTTTTTTTCCCTTTGGGTCTTGGAAGTTTCTAATATGTTTCTGCCATTGAATGTAGTCCTTTAGAATTTCCATAGGTCAAATTATTTGTAGATATTTGACATCACATGTTTACGGATTAGTAAAATTCAGGGCTTTCATTCTATGTTGTCTCATTTATCACTCTTCTAGATCATTAAAACTTAAGTCTTTTTTTTTTTTTGTCCATCAAAGTGTGGCTTTATTAAAGCACTTTTTTTTTCTTTTTGAATATGTTATCTGATTACAAAACTGGTGTTTGAGTGCCTTGTACTTGATTCAGCATTGATTCAATATGAGCCTGTTTGGAATACCTTATAAGAAATGGTTTCAATAAATAAAAATGGAGCCAATGATCAGCTGCAGGGTAATAAGAGAAGCTCTGAAATCACCATAGAGTCCTGGAACGAGAGGAAACCTCATTTGAGAAATGTCACTGGTGAAAGCTACCTCTATGGTGTATGGAGGACCAACTCTGCCATATTTAAAAATGAATACAGAAATAAACATACAACGACTTGCCACCAAAAATACAATAAACAAATGTAAGTATAAAATAAATTATACATTGAGACATAAATGTATAAACTCTTTAATTAGCTTCTTTATTTGCCTTTGTAATATTTACCTTATTTTTTGTTCTTTATAATCTTCAACTCTATTTTTTAATTATATTTTTAAGTATTTATGTGCATGTCATATTTTTGTCGGTTTTATTCTTTGTATTTTTTTAACCTAGTTATCTCTTCGCCGCTATTTATTTCTGCCTGCCCTTTTTACATTTCTGCCTCATTATGCAAATGAGGAGGGGGGGTGTCCTAGAGAGTCGACTTCTGCCCATTGGTTGGCGGTCCATCTTAACTCAGAACTCAGAGTACTAAGTTAAATGTTCTCTTTTCTGTTGCCGTTGTTCAATAAAAGTAGGTTTTAATATTATTTCAGGCGAGAATATTACACTTTTAAGCATCACCATATGGCCCATTCACAGATTTAATGCGTAATTTAAAAGAAAATGTTCCGAACTTGAGATGACGGCGGCAACCAGCGGAGCTCCGAAGCTAACGACAGCCAGGTCTAACGGCAGCCCGTCTGCAGCGGCCCTCTCTCGGCATAGCCCTGTGTGAAGGACCGCTGGCTATGATGCCGATTTTTTTGTTGTATTTGGCAAAGTTTGTCAACACAAGTCCCTACTCGCGTTCTAATGACTTCAGACTGTCCTCTCCTGTAGATTCGACCGATGCAGTAAAATGCTAACCAAGTAATAAGCAGAATTTGACTCTCTAGGATACACCCCCTCCTCATTTGCATAATGAGGCAGAAATGCATACAGAAATGTAAAAGGGGGCATGCAGAAATAAATAGCCGTGAAGAAATAACGGCTAAAAAAATACAAAGGAAGAATAAAACAGACAAAAATATTATAACATGTGCATAAACAAATAATAAATATAAATAATTAAAAAATAAAGTTGAAGATTATAAAGGACAAAAAAATAACGTAAATATTACAAAGGCAAATAAATAAAGAAGCTAATTAATAGAGTTATATACATTTATGTCTCACTGTATAATTTAATTTCTACTTACATTTTTTTGTTTATTGTAAATAAGCATACAATTAATTGGTGGCAATTAATTGTATGCTTATTTATTTTTTGAGCATTTATTTATTTCTGTATTTATTTTTAAATATGGCAGAGTTGGTCCTCCATAATGGTGGTGGTTGGGGACAAACTGCTGGTATTTAAAAGATATCCAAACTTGCCAAAGAGCACTTGGCCTTCCTAGAGTTTAGAGGTAGTTTTGAATCAAAGTATTGTGCATTTCTCTCTTTAGGATTCAAAGCTACCTTCACATGGGAAAGAAGTACATCCTATGCAGTGATAAAAGTAAAAAAAAAATTAAGGCAACTTCTACCCACAAACACTGCTTTTAAGTGGCAAAATGCCACAAACCAATGTCTTAAGGTATTATGCTGATGTAAATGCTTTTATAAAAGTGTTGGAATTTTGACACCAACTAGGTTCCATTTATCAAGTTAAATACATTAAGTCTAAAGGAGGCCATATTGCCTTATGAGGAAATTTCTTTTTGATATACTTTCCTACAGATTCCAGACATCAATTAATTCTTCAAACTCTATAATTAACTTATTTTGCCATATTATTAGTAGGAAATGTGCATACATATCCAAACTTATGCCAATGTATTTGAAAGTTTTTAAGAGCTGCAATGATTTTGCTTTTTATAAATAAATTTAAGATGACTTTTATGCCAACCTGACAGCAGATGGCGCCATGTATCAATTGTTTATTTGGGGGGGACAGGTTTCTCACTAACCAGCAGTGGCAGCAGCCTCACTGCAGTGTAGAGATAGGAGGTGATGGTGTATGTGTTGCTTTTTTGTTTCTTGCATGTTGACACTGGAGCTGAGAGAAAAAAAAAAAAAAACCTTTGAGGGTAACAACTCCTTTCAAGTGAGTCACACTCAGGCATCATTAATGTCCCATTCTACAACACCCAGTCTGCACATGTCATTAGCAAAGCAGTTTTTCCCCAGGGTTAGAGTTGCAGTTACTGAGAGAAAAAAGAGGCTGGAAACAATAGGGAGGCAGGAGAAAAGAAAATGTGATAGCACAGGAAACTAAGAGCATTGAAAGGGAGTTTAATGGGTTGCTAAAAAAAAAAAAAAACGCGTATGCCTTTATTAGTTATGCTGTCTTACACAACACAGACATGCATGGACTATGAAGCAAAGTTTAAGAGACATGGCAGCATAGAGGTTATTCAGGAGAGCATGCAATTCATCAGGGCGGTTAGGACACTAGGATTAATAATCAAAACTCAGTTTATGTCAAATGTCACTCAGGTTGGGACGAGGCAGAATCATTTCCTTCCCAACCTGCCTGTCATTTGGGCTAAACTGCCTTAAAACATACCAATATATTTTTTCCCCCCTTCTCAGTAGCAAAATCAGACATCACGTTCTTTCTAATTTGTTTCACATTATTCACAAGTTAATACAAGCTAAGCTAAGAAAGGTTTTAATCACCATGATGACAGATGTCAAAGGAAACATTAAAGAAAGCGCAGAGCAGAAAATGGGTTTGTCCTTCAGAGTGCTTTACAGCAGATTAAAACATCTGGGCTTCATGACAGAGTGATTCATCCTTAGGTAATTCATGTGTAACAAGCAGCTCATATGCAAGAGTTATTTTTATTTTCAGAATGTATCATACTTTATTGTTTTGACTATCACTATTTTCAATCACATCCATCTCTGGGATAAAGTCTTTGAGCCTTAATAAAGCATGGTGGTGGAGGCATTATGCATTAGGGGCCTTTGTTCATAGGAAGAGAATTTAAAATGAAAGGTGCTAAATACGTATGATATTTACAATCAGAAAAACACATAGTGTAATTATATATATATACAAATGTAAAGACCAGACCAACATCTATTATAGTTATTATATGGCTGGAAATATAGTTTAGAAACACACACATTTTTCATTAGGTGTTGAAATCTTTTCAATGTTCTGAAAAGGGGAATGAGTTAAAAAAAAAAAAAAAAAAGCCAATGGGTTGAAACAGTGTTAATGTAAAGAGAGAGCTGCGTCTGTTGTGTGTCTTTTTCTTCCACAGTCATTATACAAGTAGCAGCATATAATGTAGAAGTACCTTAGGTTTACACAACTGGGAGACACTCATAGTTCAAATGTAAACATCAAAGCAATCCTCACCTGGTTTTATGTTTGTTATTCCTAAATACTGTCAAGTGTCAACAGTTGATCATCTTTTCATCTCTTTTTTATTGGTGTGTGAAACAAACCAAAGCCGTTTATTTAACGGATTTTTCATAACGTAGAAGCAATGTAAAGCTTGAGGCTTTGAGGAAAATACTGTTTTTCACTTTTATTATTATATAACCTTCCTGAAGTTAAGGCTGGTTTTACTTTGATCTGTTTTCCCCCTTATACACGCTTAACCTGTTTGTTTTGAAATTAAACTCTTAAGAACGCAATCAAGGTTAATATCACAACATTAATTTCATTTTTTTTTTTTTTGTAAAACTATTGTTTGCTGGTTACTAGTGTAAAGGAAATCTTCTCAATGATTCAACAAAGAGCATAAAATGAACCTTTTTATTGGCAGCAACTCAGTTCCAACGCTGAAATAAACTGCCTACCTACTGACTTTAGATCAAATACTAGGGTCTTTAAGGGAAAACCTCATAAATGTGTCTAATAAGCCATAAATTCCCTAAATTATTTTCTTTCTTTTTTTTTTACTGCTATGATATGAATAATAAAGAGCTTAACCTTTAATTTAAGCATGTAAGATTGGGTAAAAAACATGCATAACCTTTTTTAAGGGAAATAAATGGACATTCAGTTGCTTCATAGTCAGAGACTCGCTAACAGTAAGTGGACAACCTGCATTAATGTTTGCACTTCACACCACCTAGTTTGTTCTCTCAGCAGATGGTTTGACCTCAAGATGGAAGCCAGAATTACTGACTGTCTTTCTGTTATCTCCCTGTTGCCCTTTTACTCCTGTTTCAGGACCATGGAAAGCTGACCTGAGTCA